TAGTTGGATTATGTTACTGGCGAATTTAGATTTTCGCCGCGGGACTTCTTAATGTCAAAATGATGTGTTTGTTGTTTGTATGAATTCGCCTTGTTTACAACGAACACATCATTTTGACAATAAGAAGTACCGTGGCGAAAATCTAAATTCGCCAGTAACACCACCTTGTATAAATTCGCCTCGGCAAGCATACAAAAATTCACACCAGTAGCTCGTTTCTGTAACAATTCTCTACCAAGGCGAATTGAGATATGAATTCGCCGCCCTGTTCTCTACTGGTAATGAGTAGTAGAGAATAGTTGCGTTTTTTTACTCATTTCCAGTAAAATCCAGTAAAAGTTTTTACGAATTTTCATGTTTTGGCGTTTTCGTACGCAAAAACTTGCAAAGTAGGGGAAATTGAGAGAGCGAAAAATGACAGCTGAAGTTGCAAGTTTTTACTGGATTTTACTGGATAAATTTTTACTTGTAAGAATTTGCCAGTACGAAAAACAGCTGATCGCATGTTGCTGTATGAAATTTAAACTAATAAGGAAACTGTTTGTGGATTTTTATTGTGGAAATTTTCAAAACAAACATATTTAAATATAAAATATATCGTTTTATTGGGAATATGCTGCGAATAAACAACCAATTTATCAGCTGTTCATGAAACTTGCAAATTATTACTGGAAAAGCGTTCGCGTACTTTTTTGCAAATTTTTTCTGTGAGAGCGAATTCTTAGAAATAAAGTTACTGGAGAGTTACTGGCAAGTTACTGGATAATTTGTAAAAAAACACAACTAATGACGTATATTCACTATAAGTAGAGAAATCAAGGGGAATTTATACAAGATGGTGTTGATGGCGAATTTAGATTTTCGCTGCGGTACTTCTTAATNCTGATATCAAATTGAAAAATTTTGTTTGAATTTCTACACACACTCTTACAGATTTTGACAGTTTATGCCGCCAAAGCAAAAACAAAATACATGTAAATTTTTGTTTTTGTACTCCTGCTATCACCTTATATTAATTCGCCTTGGTCAAAAAGATGTGTTCTTTGTAATATGATTTCGCCTTGTTTACAACAAACACATCATTGTGACATTCGGAAGTACGCGGCGAAAATCTAAATTCGCCATCAACACCGCCTTGTATAAATTCGCCTTGAGAGAAATAATCGGTAGAGAAGAGTAAAGAGCCTGTCACACGTGGCAATATTTCCGTCTTTCGCACGCAATTCGCTGTCAAATTGAGAAAGAGAAATTTTATTTCGATGTGTGAACAGCCAGAAAAATTTTTCTGTCACCTTTCGGAAATCAGTTTCAGAAATAAAAGTTGCAAGGTGGGACTGCAACTGCAAGAGCGAAAATCGGTTTTGGAAATATATTTCAACTTGCTCGTGCTGCACTAGCCATTTTTATTTCTTCTGCAAGTGCTGTCAAACTAATCGAGTGTTGCCGTGTGGCCCTGATCGTGAATTTGTGCAAAATGACAAAAAAATAGTGTTGAATTAAATATCAAAAATGCTTGAAATGTATTATTTTGCTTAATATACTTAATCGTAAAATTTTGGTTTTCACGACAAATATGTTAATTATAATCTATATTTTCTCGCTTTTACAAGAGAAATAGCAAACAAACGACAACCCCACCGCCCATGGTTGCATTTTAGTATCGAGAAAGATTACCAGAAACTCATTCGCTGTGTGAACAGCCAAAAAGCGATTTCAGAAATTTTTCCTGCAATTCGCCGCTCGGAAATAAAAACCTCTTTCGAAAGACACTTTCCATGCAAGGTGTGACTGCTCATGCAACTGATTTCTCAATTTGCCAGCCTTTCCGAAATTTATTGCATCGAAATATATTGCCACGTCTGACACGCTCTTTACAGAAGCGAAGTACAGAACTTTTTGTTCTCTTCATGGCCTTTAGTGCTCGTAAAGAAAACGAAGAAATGTGCCTTAGCCCTAAGGCACAGCTGACATTTCATCTTTCACTTTAGTTCAGACATGTTATATCGAGCAGAGATGCATTTATTTTCAACCTTACAAAATACTAAACAAATAAATATAAAATTATTAACGATTAAAACATCAAACTTTTTTTTGCAACATTTCATAAAAAGCAGTCGCAACATTGTTAATGTCGAGTTATTTAAACCTAAACTACGCGGAAAATCATTAGCGAGGGCGCTTATTCAATTTCAATATAGGTCCAAATTTTGCTAGTTTAATCTGCTGCGCAGTTAATGCAACACTGAGCAATAAAGTGTTAGCACGTCATTAGTTTTTTTCTCCAATTTGATCGTGTGTGAGTGCAGAGAAAATTTTCCAATTTTTTTTTCAATTTACAAAGAACTCAAGTGAATCCTGTTTAAATTTTCGTAATTATTTATATTTTTAGAATGAGTACGTGCTTTTATATATCGTAAGTTTACTGAGTTTTGTATTTTACTTGTATTTAAAGATAAGGTTCATCTGCAATTTGTTTGTGCATGCAGACATGTTGTGCATTGAAAAGCTCGAAGTTTCAGTAGACTGCAATAAATACCATTTTGTAGCTGTAGAATAAAACAACGTAATGGATCTAAAATTGTCAAGGAAGTACCTGCTCGGAGAATATTTTAGTTCAAAGTTGTTAAATCTGTGACCGGGAAGAATAATTGTGCTCGACCGATTAAACTCAAACCATACGGAAATGGGTGTGCTGTGTATTTTAATGAGTGCTATTCCTACTCGTATCCTTACAAAAACAAAACGAAAGTCATAACCAGCACCGTTTAATGTTTTCGTTTCAGAGGAACTGTAATTACAGCATAAGTTAAAATCGTTATGGAAAAATTTCCATTAAAAGGTAGCAGAGAGATTGCAGCTGAAGGGAATAGTTACATTACGGCCTATCAGTCGGTATTGAAAAAGGTAAGTCGTACGGCCATTGTATGTAAATGTATTTATGTGTGTGTAAAGGTTTGTGTAGGTGCACCTAATATGATAAAAGGATATTTTATAGTACCTATAACTAAGTTATTGTCACTCAGAAATTTGTTTGTACATAAATAAGATCGTGGACATTTCAAAAAAGTAGGTTAAGTCAAGGCATATTTGCTGTTTTTCCTTGGGCAATGATCGGGATCCGGATAAAAAATTTGCACGCAAATGCAACAACAACGATATGATCCTGACAGAGATCTGGTTCAATTTATGATCCTCTGTGTTTGCTTCACGATTTGGTAGCACTGACAAATAAATGTATACACAAACAGATATTCTGCTATTTGTTTCTCTTAGCTTGATTCAAATAAATCGCCTTTATGTTAAATATTTAGTTAAGTGAATATTATTTCATTTAAATGTACTTTTCCGCATTTAGCGAGTTCATTTATATATAAACTAGCCGGCCACGGATGAGCGAGGGTTCGCCCCACGCTGAATGTATGCATATGTATGTACATTTACGAATTCGGAGAAAGAAATCATATGTCATCATGTACTTCGTTTATTATATACTTAAAAAATCTTGTCTACATCCGTTCAGTAGCGTGGTCAAAATATCTCGCCTTTGCTCTATACTTTGTATAGAAGATAGTAATTTTTAATAGCTGGCAACCCTACTCAAAAAAATAGAAAAATAAAGTTTTTGTAAATGCGAAGGCCATGCAGTTTCATTTGGTCTCTCATTTTTTTATCCAACGAACGAGAAGATCTTAGAGTTTTTAAACAGGTGGAAATCCTACTCAGAAAAATAATATATTATTACACATCTTGAGGCTAAGGGCCGGTTACTCAAAGTCTGGTTAACACTAATCTGCGGTTAAACATCGTTACCGACGCCTTCGACTCCATGCATATAACAGGGAGTCGGTAACGTCGATAACGATGTTTAACCGCAGATTAGTGTTAACCAGACGTTGAGTAACCGGCCCTAAGTCTTTTTATTTGACTGACGGTGCAGTACTGACGCCTACGCTTATTAGGATTGAATATAGTAACTTTTTTAACAGGTGGCAACCCTATTCAAAAAATAAGACATTAGTGATTTTCTAGAGACCAACCCCTTTCATTTGACACCGCAGTTTTTGAAATCCAACGAACAGTGCGGATCTTATAGTTTTTTAGACAGGTGGCAACCCTATGAAAATTCTAAATACAAAAGGTCACTCTCCTATCGATACAGAGAATACTAGAGAAAATCCCATCTAAATCCGTTCAGTAGTTTACGAGATTACCGCCGAGATATGCCACAAGAAAATTTTGAACTTCCTTGTTTGAGAGCACCGTTCGCTCGATTTTAATGAAACATACACCAATTTGAAGGATATACGCATACTTTGTTATACAGTTGTCCACAAAATAATAGGAGTGCGATATTTTGACCAGTTTTGGCTATTTGTCTTTTGTTTATTTAATGTTAATTATTTTTTTATAAAAGCCTAGCTGGCTATACAACAAACACCATATAAATTCAGATTTTAAACTTTGTATAAAAATTATAAAAATTTTGCAATTTTTCACCCAAATTTCAAACTTTTTAATCAGAATCTTTAGAAAAAATTCTGGTATGCAGTTTTGTAGCACATTCAATTCTAGTCTGAAGAAGTGCAAGTTTCAAGCGGCTAAAAAATTCCGTTGATTTTTGAGAATTTTTTTGGTTAAAGGTGTTTCACGTTTTTTCCATACAAAGTATGTCGACAATTTTCTTTTATATGGAGGACACTGCCAGCAAAAAAATTGCCAAAAATCAACGGAATTTTTTAGCCGCTTGAAACTTGCACTTCTTCAGACTAGAATTGAATGTGCTACAAAACTGCATACCAGAATTTTTTCTAAAGATTCTGATTAAAAAGTTTGAAATTTGGGTGAAAAATTGCAAAATTTTTATAATTTTTATACAAAGTTTAAAATCTGAATTTATATGGTGTTTGTTGTATAGCCAGCTAGGCTTTTACAAAAAAATAATAAACATTAAATAAACAAAAGACAAATAGCCAAAACTGGTCAAAATATCGCACTCCTATTATTTTGTGGACAACTGTATATCAAAAATATCTATCTGTACTTTTAAGTGGCAAGACTGTAACAAATAAATTAATAAATAAATATAACTTCCTCTAATCCAGAAAAGTTAATCCCGTTACGTACTGGGTGTGGCATCTGACATACAGATTAAAATGTGAAAACCGATATCTCTAAAACCAATTACGCATAAATGCATAAATTGTAAATACCCTACTTACGCCGAAAAATGGTAGAAATTGAAAAAGGGAACGTGGCACCGCCGTACAAACAGAAATTCCTATATCGCTTATTTCTGCAACCGATTATGCTAACGTGCTGACATTTGGCACAGCTACATATCGTCGTCTCAGAAAACGGATGTCGAATGTTACAAAACACGGTTTTGAGAAAATTGACTTTGAAGTTTAAGGTCGAATTAATCCGAAACTGTACGGTAGATTTTTGTAACTTTTGAAGGAGACGTAGTTGGTGTTATTAGTTTTGATTTCCCATATTTTTACATTTAATATCTCTTAACGTTAATGAGAAAATTTACTTTTCATTCCGTATACATTTGTCGTAAGTAGCGTTTACTCACCACTTTGTTTTGTCCACAGAACATACGACAATAGTAAAGTATCTATTTCAACGACGATGGCATAATTTGATGAAAAAAACAGACATATTTATTAAATAATGATTACTTCTTAGAAAAAACATAACAAAAACATAATCATGTATTTAATAAAAAAAATCTGTACATCTCTTATGCTGTAAATATGTTACGAACATACGTTTTCTTTATATAAAAACAAAAAACAATACTTAAATTCAGTCTTTTGTACATTTTTATCTCTTTCATTTCATTGGAGACTCAGTGCAAGCTAAAATTTAAAAATTTAAAATTTTAAAATTAGTTACTTAGTTTAATTTTCAATTTTAATTGTATCGTTATATTAGGGGACCATCCAATTGTCGTAAGTTCAAAGTTTTGCGATACATACGACAAATGTTTTATGATTAAAAAAAGATTACATTTGTATGGGAATTTGTCGTATGTGCCACATATGACAAACGTTTTATGATTAAAAAAAAGGTACGTTTGTATGGGAATTTGTCGTATGTGACGCATTTTCAGCACATACAACAAAAGGCATACCCAATCATTAATATTATGTAACATACGACAAAATGCGCACGAAATATCTCAAAAACTAATGGAGATATAAAAAAAATGGATTGCAGAATTCGAAAAAGCATGTCCAACTTAGTAAATCTGCATCAAAATCCCAAAATCGTGATTTTGCACATTCGTCATCCGTTTTCTGAGGCGACGATATGTCATTAATACCTTACTTATCGCAAAATGTGGCAGGTTTTGGATAAGGGGGCGTGGCACCTCGCATACAAATTTCACTTCTCATATCGCGTATCCCTATAACCGCTAATGCTTAGATTCTAAGATTTAGCACAGCTATCAATACGGTATTTACGGCAAAAAGTTGTAGATTGTGGAAAAGGGGGTGTGGCACCTCCCATACTGAACTATTCATATCGCTTATCTCTGTAACCACTTATGATAAGGTAATGGAATTTGATACACCTACATCTGTATCCATATAAAAAGGAAAGAATTTGTTGTTTTTTGGTGCAAAGTTTTTTAGAAGGATCAGTGTGGTTGTCTTCCGATAGGTGACGCAGGGATTGAGAACTATCCTAAGAAATCCTATCTCAGACCATTATAATTGAAGAACGTATTTACAGTCTGAATTGGTATATGTTACCATATTAGTCAGTGAGGAAGCGGTAGGTATCTCATCGCACCATACCGACATATTCGCATATTTTTTATCAATGAAAATCTAGGTTCTTTTCTCCGTCTAATTTCGAAGCTACTGAAGAATTTGGTTTTAAATTTTCCTGTAAATTCGCTATACCTTTGGTGTAGGACTTCAAATTGTCATTGGTGACAATCAAAATTCAGAAGTATATGAAAAAATGTTGAATTTCGACAACTGGGCGATACTAGTTTTTATAATTTCGTCTTCCTTGTGCTAGTGGTATATAATTATTACTGATACTGAGCTGGATAACCCAAGGAAACACAACTATTAATAGATATGCCTTGGGTTAGGTTACATACATACATACATACCAGGGCTGGGACAATTCGGATATTCTATTCGGATACTCTTATATACAGATAAAAGGCGAGTATTACGGATATACGGTTAGTATCCGTTCATATGGTTATCCGAATACTCTTAAATATTTGAACGGATTTGTAAAATTATTCTCAAATTTACCGATATATGAAGTGGTCAAATAAATAATAGAACACTTCATAATATTTTGTTTCGATTATCCGGATATCTATACACTATTCGGATATCCGGATATTCGAATTATTTAAGCAGATATTCGATTGTCCGGATTATCCGGATAGAACACCCTATACTTAAATACAGTGGCGAAAATATAAATAGAGAAGAGACATTTTACCATTCTTTGGCTATTTTGATTTCATTTATTTAAAGTTTATTATTTTTTTATGAAAGTAGGTTGTTATCTAACAAAAAACATGTAAGTCACAATTTCAAACTTTGAGCGTGTGTGAACCTGGCGCGTGTGTTCGCGGCGAGTAAATTTTTGACAAGTATGAGGTGAATAAAATTTCCGTAGCTCATGAGGCAAGGCGAATTTATATATATATGTCATGAGGCTAGTGAAAATTTTGGCAAATGTATAGAAAATTTTGACAATCGCATAGATTGTTGATGTGCAGGGAATAGATTTTTAGGACCTAAAAACCTATAAAAAATGCAAAATAAAATAATGAACTACGCTAGAAAAGGCAAATAAAAATAGCGAAATAGGCAGCAAAAAGAGCAACTAAAAAGACAAAAACCGAAAACTAACAAAAA